CACAGACCCATCTTGGTCTTCCTGCATTCCACTTTCCTTTGGTCCGGTTTGAGCTGCAGTAGCCACCATGAGGTAAGGGCGAGCTTATATCAGGGAGAAGCAATATAAAGTTGGTAGGAAATTATGGAAGCAGTATAGATTCATTTTCTTGTATACCATGTATATATACAAGTATACATGTATATATACATGCGTCTGAGATTCTTGAAGTAGCAAGGCTGCTCGAAATGGGGCAAAATTTATCCACGCATCTAAAATGCATTTATGAAAACTGGATGCATACATTTTTTAAAGATCTTTATATAATTTTGTATGAAATTTCACATTAGTTTAAAAATCATTCAATTCTTTTTAGGAATCAAGTAATTTCAAACACCATCTGCTTGTATGTGTAAAGACAGTGCCTGATGATAATTTATAACCAGTTGCTTAAGGTCATACCCAGCGAGAACAGAAAGCACTAGACCTTACGAAAAAAAAAAAAAAGCTTAATTAAGAAAAAAGTTTCAACAATTTTCTTTCTCTCATTGCTATCTATGTACCCCCTTTCTTATAATCAAAAGAAAAACAATGTAAATAATATATGGCTAAATTTATTAAGAAGAAAATAAGAGCAATAAGAAAAGAAATACATATACATAATATTTTGACATGAACACACATACACTCACACACATACACATATACATATATCTATATATATACCACAATTAATAATCACATTTAGAAGATGAGATCGATGTTTTTTTTTTTTTTCACATTAAAATGCACTGATTATGATTGCGTTGTAAGTGTTCCACCACATTTTTTTTTTTTTTTTTTAATGTATTCTTATTTTTTAAAGATATATCAAAAATTATATTCATTTATAAATTTTAGTTTGCAAAAATGCCAATCTAAGGGGGAAAAGAAGTAAGTAGTTTCACTCCTTCGTGAGACGAATTATGGCTTTTGCACAGCACAAAGGTATGTTAATTGCTGATATTAAAATCGTGTTTTACCCAGATCATAACAGATAAAGGAATTAATATATTTGCAAATCCATGTTTTGAATTGTGATAATCAAGATGGCGTCCTTCTCTCCTCCCTCATGCAGAGAGAAGGAAAAGTTGGGGAAAGTGAGGCGATGTCACACACCATGCAATGTGCGCCATTGTCAGATCTTTATCTAATTTGTTATTTGTTTAACTATTTTTTGTTAGAGGAGACAGTTCTGATTGCGGCAAGGAAGAAATCAGGAATGGAAAGTAAACTGTAGGAAAGGGAACTGAGAAAGAAGGAGAGGATCGATAACTTCATCCTGATGTCCACAATAGACTGTATCTTGGCGCTTCGAGTCATTGTAGAACGCCGTCGTAAATTCGGGCATGGGCTGCTTGCATCCTATATCGACCTTAAGAAGGCCTTCGATATGGTGCATTGGGAATCACTCTCAGAAATCCTGAGATTGAGAGGAATTAAAACAAGGATTATTGGACTAATATAGCAAGCCTGTTTACTGGAATTGGAAATGCTGTAAAGTGTGGTGAGGGCCTGTCGAGCTTTCCTGTTAGTTCAGGAGTGAGGCAAGGCTGTGTCCTTGTGCCAATACTTTTCAACACTTGCATGGACTGGATATTGGGCAGAGCTACTGTCCAAATCCATTGTGGAGCAACTCTGGGCAAAAGCAAAGTTACAGACCTTGACGTACGTGATGATGTTGCTATTCTATGTGAGTCTTTCGAAGCCTTAGTGGCGACTCTGGATGCATTTAGCAATGAAGCGAAGCCCTTGGGTCTAGAGGTCTCCTGGCCCAAAGACCAAGATCCATGGGCGATACAAGGGCATCTATCAATTCACTATCTTGCTAATTGATTGTTGGGATAGGACACGATCATCTCCATTGCACATTCGTATTTTTCCGGTTGCTAAAAAACGAAATGTCACTAGTACTTTCATTTCTCAAAGATGTCATGTGTTTGATTTGTATGAGAGCTTATTTGAACTCTGGTCATATCGGTTACTAATCTGAATCGGTTCGTGACTTCTTTTTTTTGTCCGGAATTGGCTTATACTTCGTATCCTCACGCACTGTTGTGCTGCTTCTACTGCTGTTGTGTGGAGTTCAGTGCGGCTCGACGTGCTGAATGTCCTCCTGTCGCACACTTAGCCTCACTATCCATTGAAAGCACTTAGTGACGCTGAGAAGTTTGATGAATAAGACTGTGCAGTCGGTACACACTTGCGGCAAGTCACAGAGAGCTTTACATACCTTGGTAGTGCAGTTCATAACTCGGGACTGTCCGACCAGGAAGTCAGCAGACAGATTGGCCTGGCAGCAGGGGTCATCAACTCTCTCGACAAGAGTATTTGCAGATGCCGGTACCTGTGTAGAGAGAGACCAAGCTACGTGTTTTGAAGGCCCTGATTATAACAGTTTTACTATACGGTAGTGAAACCTAATGCCTTTTGTAACAGGTCCTTGGGCCAGATCACGGGGTACTGTTGGCGGGACCACATGTCCAACCAATGATTGCACTGTGAGACTAGCACAGGACCTGTTACTTGCACAATCCATGATGGCCACCTGGTTCGCTTCCCACAGGATGATCCTGCTAGCCAGGTTGTCTATGTGCGAAACAGCCCTGGGTGGATGCGGCTGTGCACCCCCTTCGACGTTATCTCCCCGATGAGGGTGATGATGATATAACTAACACTAACACATATATTAATACATCTTGATATGTCTTCTATCATCGTAAAAGGATTAACATCATTTTGTTTCAATTCTTTCAATCAGACTGGGCGTACTTCTCCTGCTCTCGGTGCTTTGGACGGCACAAGGATTCCCTACATATAAAAGGTAAGAATCAAGTTGGAAATCAGTCTTGTTTTGTTCGTTCTTCAAAAGGTTATTTCAATATACAGGGTAGATAGGTGTTTCCATATAGTTGTAGAAGATTGGAACAATCATCATATAGCAATAATATTGATCATTATACTGGTTGTAAAACTCTGTCCGAAGGATGTCGAGATCTTTATGATTACTCATTTCAGATGCGTCGGAGGAACAGGCGGTCCCCCAGGTTTATCCAATGGACCTTTCCCAGGCGGTCAACCAGGTTTCGTCAGCCAGCTTTCCACCACCAATGATATTTGTTCCCGTCTATTTAGTTTCACCGGCAAGTGGCCCATGCTTCTACGGAGGTGGTGGTGGTGATCAAGGAAATGGTGATGATGGAGGCAATCCAGATGGTGGTGCATGGTGGTGATGGAGGCAATGAAGATGTGGTGATGGAGGCAATGAAGATGGTGGTGATGAAGCCAATGAAGATGGTGGTGATGAAGCCAATGAAGATGGTGGTGATGGAGGCAATGAAGATGGTGGTGATGAAGCCAATGAAGATGGTGGTGATGGCATGCAATGAGATGGTGGTGATGAAGCCAATGAAGATGGTGGTGATGGAGGCCAATGAAGATGGTGGTGATGCAATGAAGATGGTGGTGAGGGAGGCAATGAAGATGGTGGTGATGGAGGCAATGAAGATGGTGGTGATGAAGCCAATGAAGATGGTGGTGATGAAGCCAATGAAGATGGTGGTGATGGAGGCAATGAAGATGGTGGTGATGGAGGCAATGAAGGAGACGGTGAAGGAAGCAGTGGAAGTGGAAGCGGAAATGGACGAAGCAGTGGAAGTGGAAACGGAAAGGGAGGAAGCAGTGGAAGCGGAAGTGGAGGAAGCAGTGAAAGTGGAAGCGGAAGTGGAGGAAAGAGTGGAAGTGGAGGAAGCAGTGGAAGCGGAAGTGGAGGAAAGAGTGGAAGTGGAAGTGGAAGCGGAAGTGGAGGAAAGAGTGGAAGTGGAGGAAGTGGAAGTGGAGGAAGCAGTGGAAGCGGAAGTGGAGGAAAGAGTGAGAAGCAGTGGAAGCGGAAGTGGAGGAAGCAGTGGAAGTGGAGGAAAGAGTGGAAGTGGAGGAAGCAGTGGAAGCGGAAGTGGAGGAAGCAGTGGAAGCGGAAGTGGAGGAAGCAGTGGAAGCGGAAGTGGAGGAAGCAGTGGAAGTGGAGGAAAGAGTGGAAGTGGAGGAAGCAGGGGAAGTGGAGGAAAGAGCGGAAGTGGAGGAAGCAGTGGAAGTAGTGGAAGTGGAGGAAGCAGTGGAAGTGGAGGAAAGAGTGGAATCGGAATTGGAGGAAGCAGTGGAAGTGGAAGCGGAAGTGGAGGAAGCAGTGGGAGTGGCAGCGGAAGTGGAGGAAGCAGTGGAAGTGGAAGCGGAAGTGGAGGAAGTAGTGGAAGTGGAAGCGGAAGTGGAGGAAGCAGTGGAAGTGGAGGAAAGAGTGGAAGTGGAGGAAGCAGTGGAAGTGGAGGAAAGAGTGGCAGCGGAAGTGGAGGAAAGAGTGGAAGTGAAGGAAGCAGTGGAAGTGGAAGCGGAAGTGGAGGAAAGAGTGGAAGTGAAGGAAGCAGTGGAAGTGGAAGCGGAAGTGGAGGAAGCAGTGGAAGCGGAAGTGGAGGAAGCAGTGGAAGCGGAAGTGGAGGAAGCAGTGGAAGCGGAAGTGGAGGAAGCAGTGGAAGCGGAGGAAGCAGTGGAAGCGGAAGTGGAGGAAAGAGTGGAAGCGGAGGAAGCAGTGGAAGCGGAAGTGGAGGAAGCAGTGGAAGTGGAAGCGGAAGTGGAGGAAACAGTGGAAGCGGAACTGGAGGAAGCAGTGGAAGCGGAAGTGGAGGAAAGAGTGGAAGTGGAGGAAGCAGTGGAAGTGGAAGTGGAGGAAAGAGTGGAAGTGGAGGAAGCAGTGGAAGCGGAAGTGGGAAGCAGTGGAAGTGGAAGCGGAAGTGGAAGTGGAGGAAGCAGTGGAAGTGGAGGAAAGAGTGGAAGTGGAGAAAGCAGTGGAAGCGGAAGTGGAGGAAGCAGTGGAAGTGGAGAAAGCAGTGGAAGCGGAAGTGGAGAAGCAGTGGAGTGGGAAGCGGAAGAAACAGTGGAAGCGGAAGTGGAGGAAGCAGTGGAAGTGGAAGCAGTGGAAGTGGAGGCAGTGGAAGCGGAAGTGGAGGAAACAGTGGAAGCGGAAGTGGAGAAGCAGTGGAAGCGGAAGTGGAGGAAAGCAGTGGAAGTGGAGGAAAAGTGGAAGTGGAGAAAGCAGTGGAAGCAGTGAAAGTGGAGAAAGCAGTGGAAGCGGAAGTGGAGTAAGCAGTGGGAGTGGCAGCGGAAGTGGAGGAAACAGTGGAAGCGGAAGTGGAGGAAGCAGTGGAAGTGGAGAAAGCAGTGGAAGCGGAAGTGGAGTAAGCAGTGGGAGTGGCAGCCGAAGTGGAGGAAACAGTGGAAGCGGAAGTGGAGGAAGTAGTGGAAGTGGAAGCGGAAGTGGAGGAAGTAGTGGAAGTGGCAGCGGAAGTGGAGGAAGCAGTGGAAGTGGAAATGGCACCGCAAGAAGTGGCAGCGGAAGTGGAGGAAAGAGTGGAAGTGGAAGCGGAAGTGGAGGAAGCAGTGGAAGTGGCAGCGGAAGTGGAGGAAGCAGTGGAAGTGGAAATGGCACCGCAAGAAGTGGCAGCGGAAGTGGGGGAAGCAGTGGAAGTGGAAGCGGAAGTGGAGGAAACAGTGGAAGTGGAAACGGAAGTGGAGGAAACAGTGGAAGCGGAAGTGGAGGAAACAGTGGAAGTGGAAGTGGAGGAAGTAGTGGAAGTGGAAGCGGAAGTGGAGGAAACAGTGGAAGTGGAAATGGCACCGCAAGTGGAAGCGGCAGCGGAAGTGGAGGAAGCAGTGGAAGTGGCAGCGGAAGTGGAGGAAACAGTGGAAGTGGAAACGGAAGTGGAGGAAACAGTGGAAGCGGAAGTGGAGGAAACAGTGGAAGTGGAAGTGTAGGAAGTAGGAAGTGGAAGCGGAAGTGGAGGAAACAGTGGAAGTGGAAATGGCACCGCAAGTGGAAGCGGCAGCGGAAGTGGAGGAAGCAGTGGAAGTGGCAGCGGAAGTGGAGGAAGCAGTGGAAGTGGAAATGGCACCGCAAGAAGTGGCAGCGGAAGTGGAGGAAGCAGTGGAAGTGGAAGCGGAAGTGGAGGAAACAGTGGAAGTGGAAACGGAAGTGGAGGAAACAGTGGAAGCGGACGTGGAGGAAACAGTGGAAGTGGAAGTGGAGGAAGTAGTGGAAGTGGAAGCGGAAGTGGAGGAAACAGTGGAAGTGGAAATGGCACCGCAAGTGGAAGCGGCAGCGGAAGTGGAGGAAGCAGTGGAAGTGGAAGCGGAAGTGGAGGAAACAGTGGAAGTGGAAACGGAAGTGGGGGAAGCAGTGGAAGTGGAAATGGCACCGCAAGCGGAAGTGGAGGAAGCAGTGGAAGTGGCAGCGGAAGTGTAGGAAACAGTGGAAGCGGAAGTGGAGGAAACAGTGGAAGTGGAGGAAGTAGTGGAAGTGGAAGCGGAAGTGGAGGAAGCAGTGGAAGTGGAAATGGCACCGCAAGTGGAAGTGGCAGCGGAAGTGGAGGAAGCAGTGGAAGTGGCAGCGGAAGTGGAGGAAGCAGTGGAAGTGGCAGCGGAAGTGGAGGAAGTAGTGGAAGTGGAAGCGGAAGTGGAGGAAACAGTGGAAGTGGAAACGGAAGTGGGGGAAGCAGTGGAAGTGGAAATGGCACCGCAATGGGAAGTGATAGCGGAAGTGGAAGCGACAACGGAAGTAGAATCGACAGCGGAAGTGGAAGCGGAAGTGGAGGAAGTAGTGGAAGTGGAAGCGGAAGTGGAGGAAGCAGTGGAAGTGGAAGTGGAGGAAACGGAAATAGTGGAAGTGGAAATGGCACCGCAAGTGGAAGTGGTAGCGGAAGTGGAGGAAGCAGTGGAAGTGGAAGCGGAAGTGGCAGTGGAAGTGGAAGCGGAAGTGGGGGAAGCAGTGGAAGTGGAAATGGTACCGCAAGTGGAAGTGATAGCGGAAGTGGAAGCGACAACGGAACTGGAATCGACAGCGGAAGTGAGGAAGTAGTGGAAGTGGCAGCGGAAGTGGAGGAAGCAGTGGAAGTGGAAATGGCACCGCAAGTGGAAGTGGTAGCGGAAGTGGAAGCGACAACGGAAGTGGAGTCGACAGCAGAAGTGGAAGCGGTAACGGAAGTGGAGGCGGCAGTGATAGTGGAAGCGGCAGCAAAAGCGCAGGGAAAAAAAATAAGAAAAAGGTCAAGGCGAAAACTTCGGGGAAACATTAAGGGCCGGATCCGAGAAGACCTCCGGCGAGTTCGCGCTCGCTCTGACCCTTTGGAATCTGACGCTGATGTCTGCTGTGGTTCTCTCTCTCTCTGACTCCAGGTCGAACCTTTGTTACTTGAACCCTGATTCCAAATTTCTCGGTATTCTTTTGAATGCTTTAAGATAATGAAGAGCAATTTAACAGTGTGTTTTATTCATTCCAAAAGACAGGGCTATTGAGCCAAGGTCATGCAGCACCTTTGCGGATAAATCCGAAAGGCAAATTAGAACTGTAGAAGTCGCGACACGAGGCAGTCAAATATGGTCCTTGAGAACCTACGTAATTTGACGGAAACTGCCATACAAATGTGTATTTTTCGTAGC